CTCACAATATAACGTAGGTTTGTGAAGGAAAAGCCACGAAGACTTTCCCTGAGTCGAATCGCTAAGGAAGAAGCATAAGTATTTCCTTTCAATGAAAAAATCGTTATACCTTCTACCTTTCGAAAATAACTAACTTGACACGGTGCAAGCGACTGTAAAACGGCTTTAGACGGCTGATGTTCGAAACCCGGGGGTGACTCTTATATGAAAAGGTCGGGGAAGCCGCCGTCTTGGGTACAAATCAAGGATTCTGGTCTCACTTAAGGTGTTGATGACGAAACGTCACCATTTTTTAGCGGTCAAAGTATCCTTTAGGGTGCATTCGAGGAAGTAAAAGAAACGCGCTCATTTAATTTCTGTTTTCAGGCTTGATTTCCGCTCTCTCGACTACACGAAATCCTTTCTTGAACAGTGTCTGATGATCGAACCTGTTCCGTTTTAAATGGTATCTTTTAGGGGTCTAATGAAGCTCAAGCAACGTCCACATTAGTCTCCCTTAGGAGTTCAATTCAAATTTTCCAACGAGCATCCCTTGCCTTTTCATATGGGAGTCCTTCCCCCCCCTCCCCCCTCAGGTTTCCGAATGTCTAACGGGAAGTGAAGGAGTGAAGGAGTGGTGGAGTGGTGGAGTGGTGGAGTGAAGGAGTGAAATCGTGCCACCACTACAACTTGGAAAACAAATATTTTCCAAGGTAAAAACGGTGACACTGCGGAATTTAACTGGGTGATTTTTATTTCCTTTGTATAATAGACACTTATGTACTTGTTTTCCTATCTCCGCAATTTTAGATCCACAACATTAGAGTTAATTAAATGCTAGGAAAGCAGGTAAAGATAAACTTCTCTCTGTTGCAAACGTATAAAACTAAACTAGTGATTAAAACTCCGCCTTTTCCCGCAACTTTTAAGCGCAACTGTACGCGTGGAATAAATAATTGACGCGTGCAGTACACGCGCCGGCGGCTTTCGAATGTGATCCGTACGTCTCACCATGCCAGATATTAATTACAAATGAAACTGAATGACTCGAAAATTATGGCGGAACAATCTTGGTCAATTAAAGGTAGATATCGTGATAATCAGACTTGATATCATAACCTGGCGGGCTACTGCGGTGGAATGTAGACATAAATCATGATATTTGCTTGATATTTAGGAGAAACGTTATATGTTATTTTGAACTGATTAACTAATGCCGAGTGACTAGACCTTTTAATATTCTTAAAATTGTGATGCATATGTCAATAATCTGAATTGACAGTTGAAAGACACTTCTTATTGATTTATTACCAAAGTCTCAGGGGATGGTTGATCAATGGAAAGTTCATGAAACCTTCACGGGAGATGTCATTGTATTATTGTAAAGTTTCAATGCGGGGGGTTGTGTTTAAATGATTATGTCTGCCTCTGGAATGGGTTAAATATGTGCATAAATATAAGTCCAAGCGCAAATAATGAAGTGACAAGAAAAAGTGACAAATT